CTTACTTAGGTCCATCCTCAGCAGCACCGGCTTCTTTTTGAAGTATTTGATGAAAATCGGTTGGTAAGTTATATTGTACTAGTGTGAAATAGGAAGCAAGGGTATATCTCAGTAGGGCAGCACATAGTGGGCTGGGAATCTGTGACTGGAGAGATGACTTAGGGTGGTTATGGAGGCTCTGGGCAAAATGGAGAGGCAGATGCAATTTTTTTCCTCATTCCTAGTGCTACTGTGTACGCTTCCACTTTCCTCCCAGGTGCCTCTCTTTTTGTCAGTTCTCCACAGATTGCGGTCTTACTCAAGACCTCTTGTGCCACGTGATGGGATGGCAGGAAAGCTCGCCTCTTTGTCTTGCCTTCCCTCACACTCATCCTATGTGGAGTGGTGAGTGTGCCCAGGCTCAGGGAACCCTCTCCCAGAGCGGCTGCCCCTGCGCCTCCTCACTGCAGTGGCTCTGTCACTCGCTCTCCCCTCCCCGGCTCTTCTACGAAGGAAGACTGTCCTCCTGACACCAATGAGGTCCTCTAAAGGACGGTCAGCTCTTACAGAGGCCAAAAAAAAAAAAAAAAAAAGCAAAGTTAAGCCTGATTTTATTTTTATGAAAAGGTAGTTCTAATTCCTGATTTCCTAGACTGTCTTGAAGTCCTATCCTTTTCCTAATTTTGTCTCTTAGGAATGCTATTTCAGATCTTTTCTTCTTAGCATCTTCCATGTATGTTTTAAACCTGTAAGACTTGAAAAGGAAAGTGTAAGAACAGTGTTATGTGTTCAAGGCGTATCAGTTATTAAACAGAAGCACCAAAAAAGAAATAATCATTTACTTTTTAGCTAACAAAGAAACTGGATTTTTAAAATTTGTTTTTAGTGTTGGACTACATAACATGTTTTTCCCCCCCTCAAAAAATGATAACTATACTAGTAATGGAAGATACTGCAAATGAAATCTATTAATTAGCAATCATAATAAGCAAAAGTGCTTTTTTATCGCCAAAGGAGACTTCATCACTAACTGCAGTCTAACTTTTTAAGGTTGAGTGACATGACAGATGTTGATGTTTGGTTATCAGATATGGTCAGGTGCAGAGCTTTTTCTTTTCTGTTTGTATTTTTGTTTTTTCTATAGGATAGAGATTTTTTTCCCCCTCTGTCTCTACAGATTTGTTTCCCTTCTAGATGGGACCAGGTGAAATTTAGTATTTGTGTTTTTTAAAATCATGAAATAAACACACAAAAAAGTGTATAATATAAATCCTTATTTTATTTTATTTAAGATTTTATTTATTTATTTGACAGAGTGAGTGAGCAAGAGCAGGAGGGAGGGGCAGAGGGAGAGGGAAAAGCAGGCTCCCTGCTGAGCAGGGAGCCCGATGAGGGGCTCGATCCCAGGACCCTGAGATCATGACCTGAGCCGAAGGCAGACACTTAACCAACTGAGCCATCCAGGTGCCCCTAAATCCTTGTTTTAAATAATAAGACAAATATCTATGCACTTATTACTCAACTTAAGAACTAGAACATTACCAAAATCTATGACCCCCCTGTCCCCCTCCCCAGTAGCATCTTCTTTTCTTCCTCCACAAGTAGTAGCCACTGTCCTGAATATTGTGCTTATCATTTCTTTGCTTTTAAAAAAACTTGTTTATCATGTATATATGTATCCCTGAGTATAGTTTCCTTTTGCATATTTTTGAATTTATTAAAATATCATCACTGAATACATTCCTCTGTGACATGTTAACATGTGCCATTTAGGGTATCAACTGGGATTAGAAATACAGCTTTTCTCAAGAAGCAAGAAATAATTAGAACAGGGTAGTGTGTGTCATTCTAATCTTCTGATTTGTTGTTAGTCCTAGCAGGTAACTGAAGTGTACATATCACCTGAGATGTTATAGAAACTCTAGCCATTGGTAGAGTAACAGGCTTGACTATATAGCAGTAAATGTCCTGTGCCACTGTAAATGTTATTTATGATTATTCCCCTCTAGCATTCACAACTAAATTAGGAACATATCCTTTTCCTAGCAAATTCTCTTTGGAAATGTATGGCGAAGGGCACAGATAAAATTTTAAGCAGAAACAATTTCTAGTCCTCTGGAAGATATTTACAATATAAGTGTTACTTGTTTTGAAAAAAAGAGAGGGTTATATCCCTCTTGTTTTAAGACCTAAGGGTTATAAACCAGCAGTTTGATGATGGTGATCGTGGTGGTGATGACAGTAATGGGAAGGTGAGAGAATCATAAGCACTTCCCAGCTGAAGCCCTCCTTGAAAATTTTTAATCATCATTCCTTCTTGTCCAGCTGCGGTGCTTTTTTTTTTTAATTTAAAATCTGATGATTATTCTTTTTTTAATTTTTTATTAACATATAATGTATTATTTGTTTCAGGGACACAGGTCTGTGATTCATCAGTCTTACACAATTCACAGTGCTCACCATAGCACATACCCTCCCCAGTGTCCATCACCCAGCCACCCCATCCCTCCCACCCCCCACCACTCCAGCAACCCTCAGTTTGTTTCCTGAGATTAAGAGTCTCTTACGGTTTTTCTCCCTCTCTGGTTTCATCTTTTTTCATTTTTCCCCTCCCTTCTCCTATCATCCTCTGTCTTGTTTCTCAAATTCCTCATATCAGTGAGATCATATGATACCTGTCTTTCTCTGACTGACTTATTTCACTTATCATAATACCCTCTAGTTCCATCCATGTCATTGCAAATGACAAGATTTCATTTTTTTGATGGCTGCCTAATATTCCATTGTATGTATATACCATATCTTCTTTATCCATTCATCTGTTGATGGACATCTAGGCTCTTTCCATAGTTTAGCTATTGTGGACATTGCTGCTATAAACATTGGGGTGCATGTGCCCCTTCGGATCCCTACATTTGTATCTTTGGGGTAAATACCCAGGACTGCAATTGCTGGGTCGTAAGGTGCTTTTTGATATTTCTTCAGAAGTAATAGCTGGATCAAATGCTGAAAGAAAGCATTAGGCAGTCAGAGTAAGTGTGGTGACCATCTACCCATTTAGTCTCCTCTCCGGTGTTACTTCGTGCTAACTTTGTGCCCAGCATGAGCCCAGGAAGATCGGAAAAGTGTAGTTATGGTCCTGGCCTTCTGGAAGCTTGAAATCTAGTTCGGACACATGAGACTGATGTTTCTAGTGAAGCTTACCAAAGTGAAAACATTTATCTAGCAAAATATCTGAGGCTCATTATTTTATATCAACAACCAGAGTTTTGCCTGTTAACTAGAAGTTTTAGGCCACAGGCATGAGCAGTTAGTCTCATTAGTTAGCCTCTTAGAAGTGTTCCATTCTTTGAGTTATGAGACCCCTAACTTAATTCAGGAAGAAAAGCTGAAGTCATTTGAAGGTAAAGTGAAAAGTTTGGGACTCTTTCTTCTATAAAGAGAGAGGATTACAAGGGAATATTTACTGAAGTCTGTAAAATCATAAAGGAGGTAGGTTATATAAAACCAAAATAACATAATAATTTTATTGCTAAATTTATAATTGTACACATTCTAAAGCATAGTACTATATCTTCCTAGTCCGAAATGTAATTTCATAAATTCCATATTTCTATTTCATCATCTCCTAATTGATTAAAAATACTGTTTAGAACATTATGATTGAGAACAGATCTATCTTAAGGCGTTTTCTTTTTTAAACAAAGTACAAGTATATGTTTTACATATTTACTTTTACTTAGAAAAAAAAATCTTACTTAGGAAAATACAACTTGGGTGTAATACCATGTGGTGTAAACAACTGAACTATTTTACTTTTTACTTTCCTATGAATGAGCCAGTATATATTTATTACTGGAGTTCCAGCTATAAAATTCAGGTAAGGGGTTTAAATATACCCTAGAGTATTATTTAAAAATAAATCTGTTTCTTTCAAATAGAATACCAACCTTGGTCTGTGACATTTAGGGGAGAAATTAAAATATTAAACTTTTATTACCTAGTAAACTGAAAATAAAGTAAAGGTTAAATAAATACAAAGCAGAAAAAAATATACATACAAAATCACAACCTCTAGGAGGACAAACAGGCTACTGTTCTCTACTGTGGGAGCTTTATCAGCAGTAGTAAGTAATTCCACCTCTAGGGCAAGGCTAGTACTCAAAAATGTAAACAAGTATGTACTTTGTTTATACAAAGAAATATGCAGCATGGTTTGTATTTCTTTATAGATATCAAACAGCTAAATGGATTGTTTCAACACACCAGTAGGGGCCAGCAAAGAGCTCTTAGAGTTTTCAGAACAGAATTGGCATTGAGATATGTTTATTTGATGTGTTAAATCCTTTTTAGACTTCTTTACTTACCACAACACTCTCTTAAATGAATGAATTGCAGAGACAGTGGAATAAAATATCTTGTGTGCTCAAACTATATTGGGGTATAGTTTTTCTGTCTAATCTGCATATATTTTTAATGGAATGTTTGCTTAGGCTATTTCTTGGCAGAGTTTTAATAGTCAAAATATAAATGGCATCAGTTAAAGACTGTACTACTTGGCTGAGAAAGGCCTTAAAATTACAGGAGAAAATGCTTGGTGACAGCTTCTCTTAAACTTTTCTTTCTCAGACCTGTGCTCAATTTTTCAATAGTATTACTAGGCTAATTTTGTATTTCTCTCCTTAAGCTTTCACTTTTCGTAAGTAGTGTTTTGGAAGCTAGAATATTTATCTATTTGATTTAATGCTTGAGTTTTAACTCACCCCAAAGTTTTGGTACTTCCAAATTTATACAACTGTTTGAATTTACTCATCCAAAAAAAATTAACAGAATATATGCCTTTTTACATTAACTGACTTGACGAGATTCCTAGTTTGGCTACTATTTGGAAATTCAACCCTTGATTTAATACTCAATTACATGGGGTTTCATTCCTACCAACTTCCTGTAATTCTATCCCTATGGGTAAAAATATTAGTGGTCGAACTGCTGGAGAAAGTATAGACTCCGTGATTCACATGGTTAAATGTTCATTTAGTAGAGCAGGAGTGAAAAAATACTGTTTCAACTTGAAATGCTAGAAGATTGTTGTTCTTGTGTTACTCATTCATGCAAATTGGAGAAGGTATAATTGAAACAAGGTTGGCAGTGTTTGAGGCAGAGTGCTGCAGCCGAGCTCAGCTTCAAGGTCGCTGGAAATCAAGTGCTTTGTAAGCGAAGGCACTTTGACTACAAGCGATTCAAAATATTTGGAAACGTCAGTCTCTGGAATGTCGTCTTTTTCTTTCTATGATAGCTGGTATCTAAGGTTTTACTTAGGATAAAGACTGCTACTTAAGAGCTCTTTTAGGCACCACAAATGATTTTTTCCTTCGATGCTGGGCAGCTGCTGCTAGCCTGTCTACCGACAGAGATCTTTGTCATGACTTTCAGCCCTTAACATGTTTGGAAATGAGAACAAATGGCACAAAGCTTACGATTGCACTTTGCAGCCCGAAGAAGCAATACTTATCCTTTGTCAGAAAGCTCCGGAGATGATTTGGATAGCAATGTTCACATGTGCTTCAAAAGACCAACCCGGATTTCAGCGTCTAATGTTGTTCAAATGAAGCTGACTCCTAGACAGACTGCACTAGCTCCGTTAATACAGGAAAACCTTAAGTCTCAGGAAAGATCATCTGTTCCTTCACCTGAAAATGTAAATAAAAAGAGCAGCTGTCTGCAGATTTCGCTACAGCCGACAAGGTACGGTGGATGTCTTCAGCCTAACAATGTCTTAGCTGATGGGGATGATGCTTCGTTGACATGTGTCTTCAAGGACGGCATTTACAACAATGCTGTGGCTGATAATGAACTGAATGCTGTGAGTGATGGTAACCTTGTAAGCGGTTCTGCCCTTCGCAGCGGTAGCCTTAGTAACTTTTACACCAGTGAGAATGGGTCTTACAGCAGCAACGGTAGTGATTATGGATCATGTACAAGTATCACAAGTGGTGGTTCCTACACAAACAGTATCATCAGTGACAGCAGTGGTTATACTCTTCCACCAACTGACGATAGTTTTTTGGGTGGAAATCTACCTTCTGATGGCACCTCCAATAGAAATGTGCCAAACAGGAATACTATTCCATGTGAAATTTTTTCAAGAAGTCCAAGTACTGTTCCTTTTGTCCAGGAGGACTTGGAGCGTGGACTAGAAATTATGAAATTGCCAGTGAGCAGGAACTCAAAAATTCCACTGAAACGTTGTTCATCTTTAGTCATTTTTCCTAGGAGTCCTTCAAATACCCCACCAACTTCTCCAACAAGTACAGATATTCTTCCAAGCAAAGGATCCTATCAAACCTCACACCAGTTTATTATTTCTCCTAGTGAAATTGCCCACAGTGAAGATGGGACGAGTGCTAAGGCATTTCTTTCCACAGCTGTCAATGGACTTCGGTTATCTAAAACAATGTGTACTCCCGGAGAAGTAAGAGACATAAGACCACTTCACAGGAAGGGCTCATTACAAAAGAAAATTGCTATTGCAAATAATAGTCCGAATCAGACTGTCTGTGAAAAGTCATCCGAAGGATATTCTTGTGTCTCAGTGCATTTCAGCCAACAAATAGCAACTACATTAGATTGTGAAACAGCAAATGGTGATTGTAAACCAGAGATGTCAGAAATGAAGCTTAATTCTGATTCAGAGTGCATTAAACTTAGGCAGAGGACATCTGCACGTTTACCATCCTCTCAAAACATAGATTACCAAATAAATATCAATGGACAGTTGGAAAGACCAAATTTACAGATAAACAAAAACTATGCTATTTTACAAAGAAGTATTTCATTGGGAGGAACTTATCCAAATGTTTCCTGTTTATCCAGCCTTAAGCACAATTGTTCTAAGGGGGGACCATCACAATTACTCATAAAGTTTGCATCTGGAAATGAAGATAAAGTTGATAACTTATCAAGAGACAGTAACAGAGATTTCACAAATGAACTATCTAATTCTTTAAACCATTCTTGTAAGGTAAGTTTCCTTTGGTCTTAGTAAATGTTAATTTATACTAGAAAAGCTTTATGAAATATTTGGTTAAAATTTATTATAACTTAGCTAGCAAGTGTTTTATCGTCATAATCTTTGTATTTGCAAATCTGAAGAACCCCCCAATAGTTTTTCACTCTATTTGTTATTTTACCAGTGTTGGAAATATGCATGAAAAGGAAAAAAAAACTTTCCAAAGTGATTTAAGGCATGAGACATTTCTGTAGCATAAAAACAAGCTTTAAATAATAATTTATTTCATAACATTTTTACTTTGGTATATTTTTCTTCAGGTAACATAGCATTTTAATGTCTAACTCCATATTTTATTCCTCTTTCAAAAATGTTCATTTAGTATTCTCCCCTCCTTAATCATTGTGAAATAAGGTAAAATATAGAATACTTATTTAAAATATTAAACAATAAAAAGCCTACATAAAAATGTGAAAGTCTTGTCACAAATGAATGCAGAGAAAATGTTCCTCTAAAAGATGTGTATTTAGTGGAACATTGATAAAAAACGATTATGCTGCATGTTTAAAGCAGAGGAAAAATAAATGGCATTTGCATTTGTATATACCCTTAACCACAGGAATTTTGTTTCCACCCGATTTTCCTCTAGCTTTAGCTACCAGTTAAGACTGCCTTCTAAAATGTAACTTGGTCTTTCAACAATATTGAATTCCAAATTTTATGTTTTTTGAATTTGGCTTCAATTGCTAGGCATTTCCCATACTCTTCTAGTTACCTTATTAATTTGTTATTTTGATAATTTTGTTTATTAGTCATTTAACTCTAATGAATCTTAACCAAAACAGTTTTTTATATAATTGAGCCTTTCCAAAGTATTTGAACTTAAATAGATTTTCCAAAGTATTTGAACTTAAGTAGGTTTTTAATATTTCTGTATTTGGAAAGTCTTGCCAGATTCCAGGAAATTAAAAAATTTTTTCTGGCTAAACCAATTCTAGATGACAGTACATATTAGTTTAGGGGAGAAAAACTCTTATCTGTTTATCTGTGTTTATATAACCCTCAATGTCTATATTAAAAAATTTTTTTAAATGTCTGGACAAGTAGCTTTAGGTAAATAAAATATTAAGTAATTGATAGTTTTCTCTCTTTTCAAATCTCATAAATATAATTATTGTTACCCAATGCCCATATGTTAATATAAGCAACTACTTTACTAAAGATGAATAAAGATCAGATTTCAAATTCTGATCTATGTTTTAGGATTATTTTATTTATAAAACTTTTAAAAAAACAGCTTTTAGGAGATTATAATCCATGAAACTGTTTTGCCCCCTGAAAGAAAGCAATGCAGTGACTCTGTAAAGAAACATATTAATAATTTGCTAATTGAATTACATGTACCTTGTAAACTTATCTTATATTTAGTGAAATAAATCTGAAAGGAATAATTAACCTAGAAATATTTATAGATAAATATATCTGTAGACCTAGCCTTAAAATAGTTGATTTTGTGGTAATATTATAGTTTGTTGTTAATGATACTTTTGAAATAGGTATTTTTAATGTTTTTTAATAAAGTGTGACTAAATGCCTTCTGCATAGCTGAAAATATACAATTTTATTGGTTTTATTTAACTTAGGTAAGCTAACTTAACTATTTTTTTGTGACAGCCAAATGTCTAGCTTTGTGTAGATTCTATTTTTTGGTAGATTATTGGATTATAAATAGTTCAGAAATGTGTAGTTTGCTGGAGAGCCTTAATTTGTGCCTCCATTTAATGTTTATTAAACAACTCTATATAAAAGTATTGGTAAGCAATACAGTGACCATTAAATTCAACATATACTAGATCTAAATTGATCTAATTGATTGGTAAGGGCTTATTTTAAAAAGAAAATGCTAATGTTTTTTCTAAACTTAGCAGTGGCAACAATACTGGGGTTTTAGAAATAATCCTGTGTTTATCAATAATTATATATTAATCTAATTATAGTGGTATATTGTAACTCATTTATAAATAAACAGCTCCCAAAATATTTCCCATGACTCCAGTTAGTCTGGGTTAGTATTCTGATATGCTGAGTCTGGATTCACATTTAACAAGTTGATATTAGAGTAGCATTTAGTAATGTCAGCTATCTGTACCGAGCAGCCGTGAAATTAAATCACTGCTTTGGTCAGGGACCCTGGTTTCTAAAGCACTGAGAGTCTACGAATTCTTTTCTTATGTGTTTAGCTACCAGTGTCTAGCAGCATAGTATCCAGTTTCTAGCTCTCTATAATAACAGCTCATAAATGGCTGATATTTTAAAATCTGGTGAGAACTTTTACCTATCTGCAACAGGGCTCTGTTCTGTGTTTACAACTTAGAATGAAAGTGGGACTTTGTAGTCTGCATGATAATGTTTGTTTTATTTATTTCCTATCAAAGAACATAACAATAACTGGCATATGTTTCTTATATATACTTGTTGAAATACAATATTACTTTTGTAAAGGCTGTGTAATGACTTTTGATCTGAAAGTAGATATTTGATGTTTTAACATTGTAGTATTTTGTCAGCTCAGTCAAGAAGTAGTTTTTATCTAGTTATAAAAATGACTCCAGTTTTCTAAACTCTATGGAACAGTTTACTCAGTTGTTATTTTATTTTTTCCTGTCTATTCTCTAAATCTCCTATGTTATACTGTTAGGATGCTCCGAGATTTTGTTACCCTATTATTTAAAATACCTCAGCATTTTGCCCAAGTTTGTACATGTCCTCCATTCTTCACATAGATGCACATTTTTATCCAAAAGTTTGGCTTTACATTTTTTCTTTATGTTATAAATTTTTTCTTCATTTCCTGTTGCTTCATCCTGGGTAGGTAAATTGTTTAAGACTAGTGTAGTAGAACTTTAAAAAACACTGTCTCAATTATTTCAAAGCCTTTAACACTAATCTCAAGATGACACATTTCAATAATTTACTTAGTTATTCTTCCTAAAATAAATGTTTTAAATATGTATTTGTTTTAGTGTTGCATTATTTTCTCAGCTCCTCTTCACCAGAATATTTAGAGACATTTGGTTAAATTTATTTTGAACACTTAACCTTTCCTATAAAAACCAATATAGTTTATAAATATTGACTCTAAAACTGTGATGTAACAATGTGAATGACCCATTTTAGAAATTTGTTAAGAGATGTACTCTTGTGAATGCATATCTCTTAGAACTGAGGAACTAGAATATTAACTTCAGAGTGGTTCAGGGAGATGAGTTGTTTGCTTCAGAAACACTTCGGATTTCTCTGTAGATATTATTTCTTTAATTCATTCATCTGGCACATATTTGAGTGCCTATTATTTGCCAGGCACTGACCCAAGCCCTGGGAATAAAAGATAATAAAATATGGTCTCCTTGGGGGAACTCCCATGCTAGTAATAGAGATATGCTGGTAAACAAACAGAAATTCAGCCTAATGTCTAATGTGCTAAAATAGAGGTGTGAATGGGAAGGTGAGAAAGATGCAGGAATACTCATCTGGAGGAGAGGACCTGGTTGATAGAGGAAGACTTCACAGAGGTGGTGACATTTGAGCTGAGTCTTGGTAGGTGAGTTGGAGTTCACCAGGCAGAGAAAGCAAAGAAGATATTCTAGAGCAAGGATTTTCAATCTCAGCACTATTGATTGACATTTGGGCTGGATACTTTTTCTTGTGGGGTTGCTGTCCTGTGCCTTAGGATGTTCAGCAGCATCTTTGGCCACCACCCACTAGATGCCTGTAGTACCCCTGTCTTCTAGTTGTGACAATCAAAAAATGTTTCCAGATATTGCCAAAGGTCCCCTACAGGCAAAATTGACTCCTGTTGAGAATCATTGCCCTAGGTAGAAACAGCAGCACGTGCAAGGCTAGATGTGTGAAAGGTGATGTCATGAACTAAGATAGAGAGATAGGATATAGGAGAAGGGCAAATTGGGAGGGTGACAAAGAAATCATGCATTATTAGGTTCATGTATTGAGAGGGTGCCCCTGTATTGCCGGTTTCAAGTGGGGCTGGTGGAGATACAGGATCAGGGCTCAGGAGAGAAGCGAGGGCTGGAAATGTAGCTTGGGAGTTACAAGTATAGTCAAGGCCTTAGCTAAGGATGAACCAAAAAAGCATAAAAGTGAGATGGGAGGGGGTAGTAAATCAGAATTCTGGGGACCACCAACTTTGGGGAGACAACGGAAGAAGAGATAATCAGGAGACTAAGAGCCACTGGAGGGGCAGAGGGGCCAGGAGAGCAGGGAAGCCCAGAAGTCAAGGGAAGGGAAAATTCAAGGAGGGCAGCATGCAGCGCCACAGAACCTACGCATCTATGGCAGTTAGGAGGTCCGTGGTGACTTTAGCAAGAGTGGGATCAGGGGGATAGCATGAAAGCCAGGCTGAAGAAAGAATGAAACAGGTAAGGAAGAGAAATATCAGTATCACAGAACAGGCATGAGTTAGTGTGGGCACAATATATACTTAATGGCTGGTATATAGAAGGCATGGTGTTGGGTGGATATAAATGCACTAATTCTCTGTCCATGAAGATATTGCAGCCTAGTCTCAGGGGAAGAAGGGGCTTCTAGCTCTCTATTCTTTTACATTTGAACTATAGAATAAGTGAGTATGAGCAGTGAAACCAAAAATGGAGATTCAGTAATCTGAAATGAAAGAAACAACACACAGGAGTGCAAACTTGATGCTGTCTATGAATAGTCACAGCTCATTTTGAACGGTATTATTATTAACTTTTTCATCCCCCTCTCTACCACCAAAAAGGAGATGAAACAAAAACAGAGCTTCCCCGTAGGAAGCAAGTCAGGGTTTAAGGGCTGTTGCTACAAACTACTTGGAGAGTAGGAATCTCTGTCTTTCTGTCATGGGCTTTTTCCAGGATATGGGGCCCACCGGGTACTAGCCGTTGTGAGGACTCCCCCTTCTAGACCCACTGTCCCTTTGCATTTGGGTGACAGTGAACAAGATAGAGCAGGAG